CAGCCTGGCTTCATCTATACAAAGCAGGGCCAGGGCTCTGCACCGTTTAACTGCCAGTACGCTCCCCAGCAGGGTTTTGATCCATAGCAAGCTAGCACATAGCATGATCTGGGTGATGGCATGGGTCTGCAGTCCTTCCCAGTAGGCAGTCTGGATATAGCCAGCCTTTTCGGGCAAAAGATGGCTAGGCTGCATGGACTGATCAGAGCAGAGCTGGAGAAGGGACCATTCTCCTCCCAGAGACCTTGCAGACAAGGCAAGACATCCAAAGACTACAAAGAGAGAGTGAGGCTGAGAGATTTTGGGCAGGGTGAGAGCGCTGATCTCGGTGTACCAGAAACCTGCCCATAACACGGCCAGAGTGTCAGTGGAGGAAGGCTTTAGGCAGTGATTTGAAGAACAGCTGCAACAGAATGCTTGGGGAGAACTCCTCCTACGTGATACTTTGAAGGCATCCTGTTCTGGCTCAGCAGGACCTCTCAAGCACCCCAGAAGGGAACTAAAGTGGGCAAGAAAAGCCAATGTAAGGAAGAGAAGGAAGTTTGCTGATGCTGCCACTGGCTTTGTGGAGAAGCCCATTCTCAGTGTCACCACAAGGTGGAACTTGGTACATACCACATGCACCGAAGACGTACTCACTGTCAACAAGCAGCAGCATCTTTGGCCGGAGATGCACCAATGCTTATGGTCTCAGCACCCACTCCATGGTCCCTACTCTACTGGAGGGAGCGAGAATGGGAGCGCTGGTGTAAAGGAGCCATTGGCATTTTTTGTTGGTGGTGAGAAACTGTCTGTTCTCAAGCTCTGCTGCACCAACAGCAAGGCCTGGCCCTCGGAGGATGTGAGGTGTGACTGGGGAGACTAAAACTGAGAGCAGCGAGTGGTATCCTGGAGGTAGCAAGGAAGGAGGGAAGAGTGAGGTGTCTACAGGTGGGATGTGAGAGGGCATGAATGAAGAATGGACTCCAAAGGGAAAGGCAGGGCGGGTGGGATCCTGCAGATGTGGAAGGACACTTGCTGTCATGTCCTCCGGCAGGAAGACAACTTGCCATTGCTGGGACCACACTGATCCCAGACACAGGACTGCTAAAGAGCTGATATAAAGTCAGGTTGGATGGCGCAATGGCAGATGACAAAAGGGGACTTTGCAGAAGCACTTCACAAGTAACATCAGTGATTCGCAAAAACACTGGGGAAACCAACTAAATCCTTGTCACTTGACAGGTTTTCTGCTTTTCCAAACAGCAGCCACTGCCCAGTGCTGCAGGAGGTTGTACTCATTTCCAAGCAGCCACTGCACTGACAATACTCCTTGTACTAGGTGTGCAAAAGTAATCCTCAAACTTTATTTACCATCAGGAACCTCAGTTTTTGAGTGATTCATCGCCCTAAGAAGTGATGGAAGGTTATTGTGTTACTACAGACCAGCTGAACAACAGCTTTTCCAAGCTCTCATTGATTCTGTGTTCACCTGGATTGCATGCTCTCATGCTTGCTGAGGCGTAGGAATATGTGGGGACAGACATTGTAGTTCATTAATGAGCAGTGATACTTTGATTGTGCTATTACTCTTATTAAAATAACTCTATTGAATTTCACTGTGAGGGAACCTGGCAGGGAAGGTGAAATTACGGTGTTTCTTCAAAGAATAGCATCATGTAAAAATAAACCTATTTTTTTCTTCTTGGTAACAAACGCAGAGCAAGGCACAACCTTTAGCCTCTTTAGTGGGAAAATGTCCTCTTAAAATGACCTGTGTTATGTGTTTTGTAACTGCCATAGGCGTTAGTAGTCATCATAGAGTAATTTACATCATGTGCATGATGCAATGGGGAAGTGGTGAGGTCATCACCAGCACAGGCATTTTCATTCCAGTCCCAAATTATCACAAGTCTGGGCAAATCAGCTGCCGACTTCTGTCATATCATTTGTGTCAGTGTGGTGTAAAGAGACTGTCATCAGTACTAGGGTTCCACCACTTCTGGTGTTGCCCAAATGTGGTGGTGATGGGAGAAGAGGTCTGGCCCCAAAGACCTCAAAACCAACCTGCTTCTTCCTCTGTGAAGTGGTAATAGTGTTTCCTTATCTCCTTTGTATAAGGATGTGATGGAGATTAATTCATTTTGGAAAATTGTCTGAAGAGTAGTCTGCGCATTAATAGTTTTCTCACACAGCCTGTTTCCTACCAGGCTCTAGAGCCTTTCTACCTCAAGTGCTTGTTTCCTGGCTATTAAAGCACTTGGCTGATTTTGGGACCATGTTCTGACATCCTCATTCACATTGATTACCATTTGCTCCATGATTAATCCAGTTGGAATCGATAGGATGATTAACACAGCCCTGATCCTGGGCATGGGGACTTGAATAACTTCACTCATGTGACTAGTGTCACTGATTTCAGTGGGATTGGTCATATGGGTAATATTGCATGCTTGAGTGTTTGCAGGCTTCAGACCCAGTCAGGTGTTACCTGCAGTGAACAAGGGTTGGAGAATTTGTCCCTAAGCCATTTGCAGGAATCACTTCCTCCAGCGCCGGAGCATGATGCAGCATCACATAACATCAATAAGCAATGCCATGTACCCCACAGTGTCATATTTATCCATCAGGCTTCATCTATGAGATATGACATTGTCTTTAAACGACCTTGAGACCAGAATACATCCCTGTATTTCATCTGTCATTTCCCAAAGCAGGACATTTCTGGCCCGATGATCTCATCTTCATTTTAACTGCCTTACATCTCTGAAGCCCTCACAACAGCAAAAGTTGGACATTGCTGTCCTGGAGAAGTATCTAAACTTGGTGACTGCCAATCCTGTGCTTTGTGTGTGTGCAAACTTCAGGGATAGGTACAGTAAATGTTCTCTGAGGGCCTGGAAAGCTCCAAGCAGTGCTCTCGCTGGCACTGCTTATTAGGAATTAATGAAAAAATGAAGCAGAGGGGCTCTGTGCGCTCCCAGATTGATCCCTATGGGACTCTGCCTGCTGCTGGACTGGAGAGCTGGTACACAGAAGCAAATTGTTTTGCTAAGGCAAGTATGGGAGACCACTCTTTTCCTCACTCCTTTAATTAGATCAATCCTCTCTAGTTCAATGTGACATACGGGAAGTGCTCAGAGTCTGCTAGCTAATAAATATCATCTAGCCATTACATCATGGTGCCCATCTCCTAGCCAGGGCAAAAGCAGAGCTCCCAGGGGAGCGCTACAGAGATTACAGCTCCGACATCGCGCCCCTGCATGTGCCGGGGGCTCAGAAAAGGCTGCAGGTGTTTCCTCAAACACCTAACAACTGCCTGGCTAACATGTTCAGCAATGTCCCATCCAGAAAATGTTTTTATTCACCTTCACTGTCTGTGATTTGTAGTGGCTATGGGTAAATAAGGCGTTATTAGTTGTACTGCTGTTCAAGGCTGAGCAATGGCTCTGCCTTGTCCCCAGGGAGTTTCTTACTCGTGGCATATGGCAACGATTAATTACTCTGATCCTGTCCTTGCGCTGGTCAAATAACCTAGTCCTTTGTGCTTATCTGTGAGCGCTGGTAGGGCTTTCTTCAATACGTGGAGAAAGCAGGGGAAGATGGCTGGATCGCCAGACACCAGAAATAGAGAATAAGTTTCTAAAACCTGTGTTGAATATGATGGGGGGCTGGTGATGGAGAGCCTTGGATTAGGTCTCCAGCAGAAACGGTGACGTGGTTCTCTGTCAAGTTTCTCAGGCTCGTACTGGTTCTGCAGTAAGGGATGTTCACCCCAGCTTGACTCCAACTCCCTGCAGGATCTTCACCCTTGACTCACCTGGCAGGGCAGCAGCTAGCAAAGGCAATGACAAAAAAAACTAGTCTGTAACAAGCTCTGTAAGCTCACCTAGGGTGGAACAGCTTAATAAGTACAGCTGCTGTATTTCACTGCAGGAGGTGTCAGGGCTAGGGAAGAGATGGATTTTAGTTTCAGCCATTGCCAGGACAATGGGCAATGGTCATAAGTTTCAGCAAAGGAAATTTATACTGGTCATAAGGAACAAACTCTTCACTTTGAGAACTTCTAAGCTTTTGAACAGGGATCTAGATTGGCTCTGGAGTCTCTGTCCTTAGAGATATTCAAAACTCACATGTACAATGCCCTGAGCAACCTGGTCTACCTTTGAAGGTGACCTGACTTTGAGTGGGTGGTTGAACTAGAGGTCTCCAGAGGTCCATTCCAGCCTGAATTATTCTCTGATTCTGTGTAATCAATGACTTGTTTAACCACTGAGAGGGGCTTATCCCTGTACCGCGTTGCAGGATAAATTTGAATTACAAGAATTAACCCAGAGCTATGCCGAAACACAGGGTAAGTGACTCACCCAAGTCATACAGGAAATCGGTGGCAGAGAAGACAGTCTCTGGAGTCTTAGGAAAATGCTCTTCTCTAGGTGGAAAAACCAGAGCATTAAAACACAGTTTCCGAGCTGCTTTTGGGCTACGTTTGCCCTGGCTAAAAGGTGTTTTTAGCTTCCTTTTCCCGGCGTATCAGTGGGAACAGCAGCTCTGCACGGCAGAGAAAGGGTGGACCGGAGCCCTCTCTGCTCCGGGCGCTTGTGGGCAGGCTGAGCTGACGAGCCCCAGGCACTGATTAGGAGCCACAAATAATATTTGACACTCCTCCAGCCCCTGGAAGTGATGCATAAAACCCGACTGGCGCGTATGACTGTAGGAAAACTTGTTCCTTCTACCTGGGCAGCTGCCGGCAGGCGCCTGGGTGCAATTTTACATCCAGCCTTGTGAAGCGGGTGAGCGAAGCAGGAGGAGAGACTTCCCACCGTCCCACCCCCGCTGGACTCTGCCCTCCCCTGCCTTCCTCTGCCTTCCCTCTCCCGCTGCTTCTGCTGCCTCCTTGGAGCCCTGTTTGACACCGCGCAGGCCGGAGGCTGCTGGATGAGCAGAGATCCCCAGAGGGGCAGCGTGGCCCCCCGTCCTTCCCGACGCTCGACGCCTCTCCCCAAACCCCACGCTGGATCATGCAGTGCATCCGAAGGCAGCCCAAGCGCAGCGTGTCCCAGGAAAACATCCTACGGGAGCAGAGCCGTAGAGTGGCCGCGTTGAATGGCAAGAGGCTGGGTAAGGGACAAGTTGGCCAGACCTTCGGTACTTCCACACACTGGCAGCCGCTTCATTTCTGCCTCTTTTCCCTGCGCAGAGGCAGTGCTCCACCCTAAAGGCAACTCCAAGGTTATTTTTAAACTCCTGAGGTTTCTTTTCCTTTCCTTTGCCTGTAACCACCCGCCAGATGTGTAAACCACTTCATTTGAGGCATCAAAGAAAGTGGGACCTCTTTGGCAAAGGGTCGGTTTTCAGATCTCTTGCTGGGCTTTCTGAACTGTTGCTGGTTGAGGATGTTTGGGGAAGGCAGTGCCCTTTTCCTGCCTGATTTTAGGACTTCTCAGTGGTGTATTGCCAGTTGCTATAAGAGCCTGAGGAACTACTCAGAGGTCTGCATTCACCAGATGAAAAGAAACAGGAAACCCAGGGAGTTTCATAACTTCTGTGTGTGGCTATGAACTCATTGCTGGTCGCTGCTCTCTGGAGGAGCAGCCCAAATGGATGTGAGTCCCTTGATTTCCGTGGCTACAGAGGGCAGGTGGAAACAGAAAATCACCATTTACCCACCTGAGTTCTTTGGATTTTATCAGAAAGGCTTTCTGTCCTTTAAACTGGCGAACCTGAGTTATATCTGGTCTTTAATCAGGTGGGAGAGGGAAAGCGGGCAGGAGGAGGCTTGTTTTATAGCAGTTGTAATTAATGTGTTTATATCAGGTCAGCAGATTTGTGAGCGAGCAATGCAGAAATATGGATTATCACTGTCTTCTATAGACATCATCCTAACTATCTCCTTAGTGAACTCAGAGCCTGGCTTCTGCCGTGACAGCTATTGTTTTATTGTGGTTCCTGCTTGCTGTAAACCTGAGTACAAAGGTTAATATTTTTGATGTCTCAGTGTCTAAAACTTTATAGTACAGTATATCACCTTCGTGGTTATTGCAGTGCTGTGTGTGCTTGAGGCTCTCCTACCTTTGCCAAACATGATTTCCACTCTGAACATTACTGCACGCTAAATATGTTCTATTTAGAAAGTGTGTGATTGATGTTTTGCAAGGGCAGGGGGCTGACGCTTGAAGTGCACCCTGTGATTTTGCACGCCAAATATGTACTTGGTATTTCACAGAGGCAAGACACAGTCCTGCCACATGTTTTGGGCAGTGATTTTAGGCATGTTTCAGTATGGTGATTGTGCTTCTTGTGCCCACTGTTATTACATAGTTGAAAACAAATATCCTCGTCCTGCTGCACAGTGGTTTTGAATTTTTAAATGATGTATGTGTATGATGACTCTGCTTGCTTTCATACGAGTTTCCATTGCTGTGAGATGCAGCTCTGGACAGCAAACCTCCTCAGCTCCACGGGGTTGTTAGGCAGAAATGCTCAGGAGCCAGTTCAGGCATAAAAACTGAAACAAGGTTTCTGCTGGGAAATGGTGATTTTTTTCTGGAAAGCAGTTCAAGTGACCAACTGAAAGTAATGTCCCACTGACACGTCAGGGGTGCATTTGTTGTTCCTGTATCAGCAGATCAGAGCGTCTTCTGCTCCATCCCTGACCTAAAAAAATGCTGGTGCTTTATGGATAGGAATAGAGAGGCTAAGTGACTTACCCAAGGTCATTTAAAGAGTTTGTGGCAGTGCTTGGAGTGGGTATAGAAGGCAGGGCTCAAAACACTGGCCCTCTTTCCCAGCCAGTTTAGCTGTCTGGGCTTGAACTGCTACTAGACGGACACAGAGCAGGCCTGAAACATGCTGTGCCCACCCGGTTAAGGGGATGCCCCTCCTCCTCCAGGCCCACCGTTGGGTTGTTCAGTCAGTACTTGGTGTCACTGTTAGCAGAGGTCATATCTGGGTGACTGCTCTCTGTCTGAAAGGTCTCCCACATCAAAGGAATGACTGAGTTGTTAGATACGCTCTCACCCTTTCCTGGCCAAACCTGCCATCTCCTAGAGGCAAGCTTGTCTCCATCCCATCCCTGCCTTCTCTCGCTACCCTCTGACTCACGCTCCCTGCCATCTTTGATCTTTGCCATGCTTTCACCATGCACTGTCCATCTTCATATTTCCCTCCTGCTCTTGTGAAGCACAGTGGCCACTTTTGCTGGGCCATTTAAGCTGGCTTGGTCCTTGGGCACGGTGGCCAAGGATGGGTGGGAGTGCTGCTCCCAACCCACAGTTGCGTCCTCTGAAGAGGAAGGGGAGCTTTGGCTCATGCTAATGCACTGATCAGGCTGTGCCAGAGCAGGATGAAGCTCCAGTTTGTGTCTGACCTGTGTGGATCAAACCTGGAGGAGATGAATCTCCCCTTGGCCATTGCCTGTGCCCATCCAGATTTGCCTGCATTACATTGGTGCAGCTCTTTGGGATGTCCAGGTAGCATGAGATGTTACGCAGGTTGCATGCAGTGTCTGTGTAACGAAACATGCCCCAGTTAAAAGGGATTCCTCATTACACACTAATGCACGTAGGCACCCAAAGGAATCAATGGTTTTCCTGCTTTTCTCCTCATGTCACCCTAGAATGGCATGTCCTCCTGCTAGTCCCGTAATGATGCCTTGCATAGCTGGGAGCTGAAGAAGCAGAGGGAATGAGGCTGGGAGCCAGAACAGAAATGTTGTGGGTGAATAGAGAGAAGGAAGAAGTGTGTTTCCTCTCTGGGAACCTTGAGTGGTACCACAGTGATGTTAGTGAGGCCGAAGTCTTTAGTATCTTCTCTTGGAAGACCTTCGCCTCAGAGAGGAAGCCTTAGCATCCCAACTCAGGAGACCAAGGACCTGTGAAGCTGTTTTTGTGTCTGTCCTTCCTCTGGATGGTCTGGCCTCTTGTCAACCCCTGGGTATGCTTGAACCTCAGCAAACCCAGGAGGGTGTCCCAGATCTCATAGCTGGGGTCAGTCCTTCACCCTTCTGTGCTTTGCAGGAGGTGGCTTTTTTTCTTTTCTACACAAGTTTCTTTCTGAGGTTTCCAGAGAAGGAAGCATTCAAATTCTCCTCTTGGGAACCTCCAGACCAGACATGAGCCAAAAGGCCCAGGGGATGCTGTAGCATGAGAAGACACTTAATTAATGAGATAACCAATTGAAAGTAGAGGAAAGGGAGGAGCCACAGACACCTTTTCAGGATCCCAGCACCCACTGTGGCACTTTCAACTCTGGCTGCCTCAGCCAGGCTCAGCTCTGGTCATGCTCCTTGGCGTCTGCAAAACCAGTAAAGTGGTGTGAGGGGCTCACTGTGTGGACACTGGACACCCGTAATATTTATATCTGATGGAGACATCAGAATTTCTTTGGCAACCTAAAATTCTCTCTTTAGGCCAGTGTATCCCAGTTATAAATTCATGGTGCTGCTTTATGTTGCTGCCACCATGACCCACCTTGGTGGTCTGCAGCACCTGGCACTTCAGTTTCCTGTATGAATTGTCAGGAGTCTGGGGATTTCGCCACTTGGATCTCATGCTGGTTTTGTTTTTTAAGCAGGCCTGAAGTGATGCTTGGTAGTTTATTGCCTTGCCCTTTTCAAAAAACAACAAATCAAGGCAGCTGTGTCTTCCAGAGAAGAACAAACCCAATGTCACAGGGGAAAGCCACACTGCAATATAAGTGTTATTGCATAAATCAGTTAACTTGGATTTCTGCTTTGTGAGACCCCACGTTATATTTATGTAGCATTGGGAAATTTCCCATGATGTGAGTGTCAGGTGGCTGCAAGTGGCCAAGTGGTTATCTGTGACAATCTCATCTGCATTGTCAAGATAAAGTTAGTAAAACTCCCACTGAGTTGGGATGTGCTTGGTCAGTGCTACAGAGTTAAAAGCTGTTTCACCAGCTTTGAACCAGCCTTTCATGCAATGTCAGAGAGATGCAAGGTGCTTATTACAGAAAGCCTAGGATGTGTTTCTCATGTTTCATGCTCTCACCCTCCCCAGCCCACACACTCCAGATCTGTAATTAATGGTTGGTTTGAGGGACAGATTCTCCAAGGTATTTAGGTATGTGGAAGTCAATACACTGCTGAGACATTCAAAACCACGTAGAATGCCAAATCTATGTTTCCAAAGTCTGCCCGTTGCCTCTCTAGATGTCTAAGTGCCTTCCTGAATCTAGCCCAAGATGTGAAATCTGAAGTTCCTGGAACCAGAAGGTCTGGTTATTATTACTTGGCATTGTGGTGGCCTAGTAGGGTAAGAAAGATAAGGGTCCTCTTGGATACTAGCTGGGCAATGAGGAGAGCGTGGTTGCTACCTTATTGCTACCTTATTGATGTGAGGCTGCCTGTCACCAAACTTATCTGTGTATGTCCTAAGCTTCACGACACTGATCTTCAAAATTCCCATGTGGGTAGGAGGGGACTGCTTGCCAGAGAAGGAAGAGAGATATCGTTGTGTATTCCTGTTTCCACAAAGGAAATTTGTCACAGAATAGATTTGAAATCACTTGAAAGTTTCTGACAGTACTCCAATTACAAGTTGTACAACTTTCTTTCCTTTGCTTTTACTGTTACGTTGTCAGTTTTGTTGTTGGTTTTGCATCCTAACATTAGACTATATTTGCTGGGAATAAGATATTTTACGTTTGTAAACCACCTGAGAATTATAGTACAAAAGTCTTTGGACTCAATCTAAGAAATCTACAAGTCTCCAGCCTCTTTTGTGAGCATAAACTGTGGCATGGCACGTTTCTGTGTGTCTCTGCTCTGCTGTCCTCCCCAGACCTGGCTGCACTGCAGTGGTCTGTCTGTGTCTGTGATTAGTGTTCTGTGGAAGGGAAGACCCAATGTGCATCATTTCTTGAGTTGACTCCTACAACATTACCACTACTGTTTCTCTGCAGGCCTGAAAGATGACAAGGATCTGAAGTTCCTCCTGAAAGGCAGCCAGCTGCTAAAAGTGAAGTCGGGCTCTTGGAGAAAGGAGCGGTTTTATAAGCTCCAGGAGGACTGCAAAACCATATGGCAGGAATCGAAGAAGATGCTGAGGTCTCCAGAGTCACAGATCTGTAAGTAAAGTTTGCTTCATCACAGGCATGGGACGCTGGGCAGACGTGCTTGGGGTGAACCCTCATGTTTGTGGTGTGGAGGGAGGGCTTGGGCTTGGAGGGAGGGCCTTCACACCTCCTCTGTAACACACAATCTGAGTGATGCTGTTAGCTCTGGAGACAGCTGAGAGGAATCTGCCAAGTCAGGAATGGCCACGTGTCCCAAGCTCATGAGCTACCACTTAAAATTGTTGTAGGGTGGGCCACGCTTGGCTCAGCAGTGCTGCCTGCCTCGTTTCTTCCCCAAAGCAAGAGTTCAGGTTACTCAGGTGCCCAAGCCCTAATGCTCAGTGTGAGACATGGCTTGAGCATCTGCGGTGTGGTATGGTGCGCTTGGGCTGTTGGTCTGAGCTCTGCCAGGACACCTCTTTTCTGCCTGCAGCCCCTGGGAAACCTGGCATTTCAACCTCACAAGGAGCCACAAAGATGTGGAGATGCAAGGGCTGGCAGGAGATCTTGCTGGGAAGGAAAGCCTGTTCTCATCCTTATCTTGGAAACTCAGAATCTGCCCCATTGTAAAATGTCCAGATACGACGTTCACCATTGTATGTACACAGGGAAAACCATTCTGTGCCAGCATCACCCAGTTTGGGGCTCTAATTGGGACTAGGAGCCCAATTGTGCTGTCAAAATAGCACCAGGCAGAGTGCGTGTCTGTTTATATCTGTTTTTTCTTCTAATTTGGTATTTTTCTGACATATTTATCTGTCATTAATCATCCCAGTCTTGTAAAGCCAAGAGGTAAATGAATAACGTGGAATATATTTTATGGCAAGTTAAAATGTAGAACATGCCTCCCATGTTATTTACACAATTTTTTTGGTAACAATCACAACTGATGAAATGAAGGGTGGGTCTTCCAAATTACTGCCCCCGCCCTCCCACAAACAGTGATAAGATCTTCAGTAGGAGGAGTAAGGTAGGGCAAAATACATTTGGTTTATAACCCTGACGGCCACAGTCTTCTCATATGACCTTAAGCGCCTTATTAATTCTCTTTGTGCATCCTTCCCCACACATTTCCTTTCTCCCCCTCTGTCTAGCTATAAAAGGCTTCGAATTAGAGGCAGTCCCTTATTGTGTGTTTGCATGCCCAGCATGGCAGGGTCCTGAGCTCAGCTGGGCTGTTTAGGTACCAATGCAATAACTCACGATAACAACAGATGCAGAGGCCTTAGTGAATGTTTGGTCCCTAAGAATGCCCTCTCTGTTGAGCTCTGTCCCATATAAAAGCAAAGTCCCAAATAATCATAGAATCATAGAATGATTTAGGTTGGGAGAGACCTTAAAGATCATCCAGTTCAACCCCCCTCTCAACCAGGGGGGCACCTCCCACTATACCAGGTTGCTCAAAGCCCCATCCAACCTGGCCTTGAACACCTCCAGGGATGGGGCATCTGCAGCTTCCCTGGGTAATTTGTTCCAGTGCCTCTCTACCCTCATAGTGAAAAATTTCTTCCTAATACCTGTTCTAAATTTTCCCTTTTCCAGATTGAAGCCATTCCCCCTTGTCCTATCACTACATGCCCTTGTAAAAAGTCCCTCTGCAGCTTTCTTGTAGGTGCCCCTCAGATACTGGAAAGCTGCTATAAGATCTCCCTGGAGCCTTCTCTTTTCCAGATATAGGTCTTGCTATAAAACAAACAAGGGTGTGATTTGAGAAGACTGAGTTTCAGAGGTTGCTTTCCTGCGCTTGAGCCAGCAGTTTCCAAGTCATGGGGTCTGAGAACAACCCCAGTAACAGTCCTGGCCCCGCTTGGTCCTCTGAAGTAAATGGGAAGGGGTCCTTGTGCTGTGGCCCCGGGGTCCTTGAGGTCTGCTTGGAGAAGCACTGGTCAAAACAATTGCCTCCGTTGCTGGGGCAGTGGAATGGAGAGCTGGCACAACTGTAACTTTTTAATATACTGAGCTGCAATAAGAGCAAGATCAAATCCTTTGAGCTGGGTGTTGGGCACAGGCTGGGAGTGTATCTGCGTGGGTGGCGATTTACAGGACTCAAGGTACACTTTGCTAACTGGGCACAACCAACATTGCCACACTGCTGGAGACAGAGCCAGTGCCACTGCAGGAAGAAGAGCTTGCTGGGAGTGTCCTCAGTGCAAAGTGAATATCGGAGTGATATTGTCTACCAATTCACACCCACACATATGCTCCATAACGCCTCCATGCACACACACCTTTCCCCAGAGAAAGATTCCTTTTTTTGTCATTGGGATAGCAAGAAGGGAGACAAAACTGTTGAGGCGGAGTTTGTCATTGCTGCTCTGAAAAAGCGAGCTCTGGCAGGACTGGTTTTGGATCCAGCTGGCTGTGGGAGCGTGCCTGGTGCCAGGTTGACCTAGCAAGCGTGCTGGGACGGGCTGTGTCCCATATGCTCCTGGGAGGATGTGAAGCTGTGCCAGCAGTTGTGGCACAAGCTTTTGGGAGGGTTGGAGGGCCACCTCAGGGCTGCTTTGAACAGGTACTCTGAACCTGGAAGTCAACAAAAGACATGAGTACAGGACTGATACCTGCCCAGTCCCAAGCCATAAGCCCAAGGACATCCATTTTCCCATGTCTTTCTCCTCTATTGGTCCTCTGAGACCTTCCATTCCCAAGTTTTCAGAGTGATGTCTTTGTTTGAGTTTCTTTCTTGAGCTTTTAACTTCACCAGGCTGCTTTGGGTTTAGGTATAGAGGGGATTACCCCTGGTTACTGGTGTGTCCTCTGGCAGGCTCTATCACTACAGCTGCCTTCTCATTTGGTCCGGTGTGTGTAGGCGGTCAAAAAGCAGAGGAAGAGTGCAGGGTCATGATTTGATACTCAAAATCAGGGACTTTGAGTCGAGCCTCTCCAGAGAGTCACCCTTCCTTGTTAACAGACAGTAACTTTGCCCTCTGGTACAAAGCCTTTCTAAAACTGCAGATAAGCTGCCTTTTTTAGGAAGGAAAAAGAATAGGCAGAATGGAAACTGGGAAACTGGGAGGTTTTAGCAGCAGGTCTAATCTTATCTGCAGCATTGCTGAGAGTGAGCAGATGAAGGCACCTCAGAGGAGCAAAGTCTGGGTAGGGTAAGGGTTATGTTTTTGTTGGGATAGTTTCCTGTTATTCCTGTTATTGTTCTTATAATCATGCAGAAAAGCTGTTTGTAAACCCTTGTGTGGTGGTGTCTGATAGATAAAACTGGGGACTGCCAAGGTTAGACAGGAGAATCTCAGATGCTTGATGTTTAAAAAAACCCAACATATCAGGGTTGTCACAGGCACAGATGTTGCCTGGATCAGATATGTGGTGTACAACCAGTACCTTCCTTTGTTTTCTTTATTTTAAACAACTGGAAATTTAGATTGGATGCTGTCTTGATAACTGTGTTACCCACAGGGCTTTCTGGGGCATAGGCTGCCAATTGAATATGGTTTCTATGCAGGTAGAACCTGATCCATTTTTTCCTTATTGTCCATAATCCGTTATTTTTCAGTATGTTCCATTTAGACCCAAGGGAACAGGTTTTTTCTCTGAAAACCCTTAAAGCATCTTAAGCAGTCAGTTTTCCAACAAACATGTTATGCCCCGTGCGTCCTTTCTGTTTGGCTCCAGCAGAAACGCAGGAGTGCTGGGCACGAAGGGCTGCACAAAAGCACCTTTAAAAATCCATTTTTCACCATAGCCTGCTATGTCCTCTGTCTGAGCTGCATACCGGGCCCAAAACCACACTGCTGCTCTTATCTTAAATGTTGTATAGAGCCACGGTCAGGGTGGGTGCTTCTTTGGCCCGTGAGGGTTTTGCATATGGGTCAGCTTTCTCCCTGGAGCTGAGACGACATGATTCAAGAGGCAGGATTAACAATTTTGGGGCAAATAAAAGGTTTGTGCAAGGGGGCTGGTAAGCAGCCAGTTCAGTCAGAGCCAGTTCCCTCCTGAGCATCACTACGGTGGGAAGGAGGGGAGCCAAAGGAGGCAGAGGCACTTGTATTCGAAGAGCAGCAGCCTGTCAGGAACACTCTCTTGTTTAGCTGTGGTCAAATATCAGGTATCATCTACACACAAAAAAAAAAGAGCAAAAAGGCATGTGCTTCTTTGAGTGAAATCAATTTTTGAAAGTCTTTTCGTAAACCAGCTGAAATCCCTATCGTGAGCTCACTTAAGCCACACTCAATCCCTTTAAAAACTCTCTGAACTTGGGGATTTGTAGGGATGCTTGAAAACTTTCCAGTGAAACATCCTTTCGAGCGTTTGGTGGAGAAACAGAGTGTTTGAAACCAGAAGGAAAAGACTGAAGGAGTCATTTAGATTGAGGGGGTGCTACAATGGAGCCTGAGAGAAGCTGGTGCTTTGCTGTCTCCTGCGCTCCTTCCCTGCTGGAGGCTCAGGGAGATGACGTTTTCCATGACAGCCATGAGCGAGCTTCACACGCTGCACCAAGGATGACTCACTGAGGGTGCGTCATTGAGTCACGAGCAGTGTAGTTAAGAAAGAAATTTAGGAGTTTTGGCTGAAATATTTCAATTTCTGGCCAAAAGCTTTCCTTAAAAACTACTATTGTTGGTGTTTTTTTCTGTATTTTGGTTAAAAGGATCAGTTTTGGGAGCAATTTACGGAAGTGAGCTGAATTCATTTGCACAACTGAATGTTGCGAGTGATGATTGTATTATTATTTAAAGTAATGAAATTGATATTTTGATCTAATGATTAACTATCCTTACTATTAAAAACACACAGATTTCGTTCCAGTTCCTCTGGCTTCCAGCCTAATTGCAGGATATTTTTGCATGGTTTAAACATAGTACAAAAGCTTTATGTTTATAGCCTACTACTAGTTTTCAGCAGAAAACTTTTTCCTTCCTTTTTGGGTTCCTGTGAAATTTAGGAATGCCCTTAAAATACCATGCAAAGAACATACCATTTCTGTGGAAGAATGAATGATTGTCTCCATTGAATTAATGCCCTGAACTTGCCTGCAGAAGAACAGAAAGGACGTGATA